ATGGTTCACGGGCCCCCAATCCATAAACAAGTGCAACGAGTTGCCCAACCCACATTCAATGCTGAGATTCAATTTGGCCAGAGCAAGTCGTCACTTGAGGAACGGGCAGGCCATCGCCTCATCCTACGCCAACACCGGAGAGCCAGATGACAGAGCAGTCATTACGACCGAGCCCACCGCCTGTGATGAAAGACCAACAGGTCAGAAACCGCGTGCCGTCCAACAAACTACCCACGCGCAAGAAGGCAATTTAAGTAAATTGTCGCTGTATGTTTGAAGTAATGACTGTGTCCTATAAATACTGCAAACTTTTGTGCATGTATTACCCGTTTCTGCTACTGTTCATGTCTCTGATGATTAATCCGCGACGGATGTCGAAACGTAAAACCCAGCGATCGAGTCTTCTTTTTCTCAATTGCTTCCTGGGACACGCATGTTCGCTTGTATTGACAACCTAGTGCCTGCTACACTCAAATTCAAGGTTTAAACACTGCGCACTGTGTACATCCTATTTAAGGAAAAGTACGTTTTCGCCTACAGTTCGAGGAAGAAGTCACACAGTTGTCATAAAATATTGAAATAGATGTAGAAAATATTTTATGCAGCATAGGCAGCATCAATAAATTGACGGATACGATGTATTATGACTGAACACAACACAATCGTAAAAACGCTCATAAGTAGAATTTTTAAAACCGAAAGATGCCCTTTCTTTAAGTATAAAAATTAAAGAAAGTGTAATTTTCTACGAAAAGAGTACAATAAATAATTTCTTCGTTTAGGTTTTCCATAAAATATATTTGAATTTATAAAGGCAGTCAAAATTAATGAAAAAATACGCACACTATTTGACTAGTTACCTTCAGCAGTACATACTTTTTGTTAGTGGTCAGGATGAAGCTCACTAAAAAGCTCGCATCCTATCACGACTGAAACACCTTCAGAAGAGACTACCCGATAATCAGTATCACTACCTGATTCAATGCCGATTGGCGAAAGAGTATTAATCTTTCGCATATGTCGGCATGCTGCATGAATTCTGACGCCTACTGTATGTATACATAGGCGAAAATGCATAACCCCCAAAGACAAGGGAAACAGGAATGTTAATTTCTGGCTTATAAGCCGTCATTAGCTGCGGTAGCGACCCCGGAGGCTCGAAGCCGCGACCTTGTTAGTTGGAAGTCTGACGCTCTTACCACTGCGTCACGGGCTCGTTGCCTTACCAATTTTTGATTGGTAAAGGGGTACTCATCGACAAAAAACGGCGCTATATTTTTAATAAACACAAGAAAACTCTACTTGCTTGCTAGGGGCTTCAAGATGTCAACGATTTCTTTAAGGTGACGTATTTCCGCCTCTTCCAGCGCAGTTGATCCATAGGATGTTTTGTGATTTGGATCTACTCCGGCACCTCCGATTTTATCCAAATCCAGATTGTCCGATACCAAAGTGGGCAAGTCGTTTGGCGCAGTGGAGCTCTTCCGAGCCGGAGCCACCAGATATCGCACTGTCTCCACCTGACGATAGGCTACCGCCACATGAAGTGTTGAACGGCCTTCTTCGTCCAATTCCTATGAGCAACATCGAACGTACTGGTGTAGCAACAGAGTGGGAAACGCAGTATGGAAAAGAATTTTAAGCAAAGCGTAACTACATGAAATTTCTGTTCAGCGATAAAAGAGACACCAAGTCCTATAAAAAATTAGGGAGAAACGTTGGTGTGCTCTGAGTATCTTTATAAACCCTAAACCAGCATAAAACTTAATCCTGACCGCTAGGTCTGACCCGATCCTCTAACTCTTACCCTGGAGCAGACTCTCACCTTAATGGTAAAAGTTACGGACACATGACGGGAAATAAGCGAAAGGGAAGAGAGGAGTCACTAAATCCTAGCTAAAATAAGTAGATACGTAGGCATACGCCGGATGGTAGCATCAGGTGATATCACCTATCCACTCCTTATTCGGAGGTTAAATTCGTGCAGTTTGGTTAGAGCATTTTAAAAAGTACTTTTTTCATCTACCTTCAAAAAGCAACACTTTTAAAGTACATGAACAAAGGAATGCCAGTATTATATTAGCTTATAGGTCCACTGTTCAAAATATCTCACTTGCCTTGGGAATGGTAGAAAATAATGAATTTGAGTTCTAATTGAGCTTACCGGAATGCAGTAAGAGAAGCGTCAAACTACGTGAAAAATATTGCCTACAGTACGCTCATTTTTGCATCGAATCGTAACATATGATGAACTATGGAGCTCTTACGATATTCCTCAAAGGAGAAAATCCTGAATGACCCCGTGCCAACCATTAACTCTAAAGCCAAAGCAGCATATTCATTGAATCAAAGTTATGCCGCATAATTGGTGGCATTTTCAAGGCCAGATAAACCTATTACTGCTGAGCGATATCAATAATTATTTAGAAGTCAGTTTATGGCAAACAATTGTTATCAGAAATTCTTCATCAGACCAAACATTTGCAAGTGAAATTAACGCTGTACATAACAATTAAAGTTTGAATAGGTAGAAAAATCAATAACTATCTAACGCGGGGTGCTGATTGGCCAATGCGAACTATGTCAGTTTGCGCATGTAGGCCATGTCAGCGTGTTGGTTAAGGGCCTATGTCAGTTTGCGCATGTAGGCCATGTCAGCGTGTTGGTTGAGGGATTGT